TTACAGACAATTTCGGTTGATAGTTTGTGTTTATCCATTTTATCCACACGCACGCGCACACACACACACACAAAGTTATTACCAAGCCAGATTTTGACACTAATTAAACCGAAACGAGGCAGAATCTGTCACACAGAGTGACTTTTGATTCACTTCCGGCTTCACGTTGAGGAGTTGATCGAGTGGAGATAGCACAATTATACTTATATTCGTCATCTGTCTTGAGTCCATAATATATCAGATTAATTCTCTCTTTTATTTTCTCCCATCATACTAAGAAAACTAAGCATATTATTGGGTCAGGCAGATTTTCTTGCGCTATACCACAAAGTTCTATTTTTTCCGAAACCATAGTTCAATCGAAGTAATAGAGTTTGGCACTATTCAGCCTGAAACACTCTTGTACTTTAAAGTGGAGGCTTTAATGATACATTTTGATAAACGTTATGGCAACCAATTCAGGTATATTGGAGCAGCTTATTTGATTTGTATATTTAAATTTATGTAATTTTTTAATCCTAAATCTTAATTTATCTCAACCTACCCTGATTTAATAAGCTTAATAAATGACTCCTTTGACTGTGGGTTCTTAGTTTTGCATTCCAAAAGGAAGAAATCCTAAAATATTGACAGCAAGTTATTCCATTGACTGCACAACTTGTCATTGCAGATCCTCGATAGGCAAAATGACATTTTTTCCATGAAATAACCGGTTTGTAGGGTCACGCAAATAGGGATCAAAGTTCATCTGCCGTAAAGTTGTCCCAAAGGCAGAGCTCCATGCTGGTCTCGAGAGGTGTTTTGTTTAGTCGTCTCTATCCGATAGAGCAAGTGGTGCCGCCAGAAGGGCTAAACAGCAAACGGTAAACAGAAAAAAAGTGCTGTGAATGCTGATTTATGGTTGTTGCGGTCCTACCGAGTAGCTGTTGCACCAGTTGGTTTGTGTTCTTCAGGAGCTCGTCCACCTGACTCCAGGAGCTTTTTCCGTAGGGTATCCTGTGCGACCGCTTCCACCCGTTGCAGGCAAAAGAGTAGAAGTCGTCACAGGGCGACACAGTCTCGTCGATCGCTTCGAAGATTTGTCCGGCGATCTCAATGCACGTCCTGTCAAGGCAAACGACTGGAAAGAGAGAGAGAATAGAAAAAATGTGATCACATCGGGAACTAATCAGCCCAACTGACCGGCGTCCCTACAAAAGATTCGGGCAGATAATGCTCCTCGAGACTGGCTGATAAGCGAATGCCTCTGACCTTCAGCCTCGAAGCTGAATCAGAAACTACCAATAGTCTGATGTAAGGCAGATCTGCTCAGACGACCATTTAAAAACCCTTTCGAAGGGTCATGTTGACCCAAATCAAGCTAAAAGATCCGGCTGGAAGTACCTCCTATGAGATCGGCCCAACATGGTAGCCGGCAGTTTGGGGGTCGCTTTTGAGGGCCAGTTTGTTGCCATGCCGACTTGTGGATAGTTTTTTATTTACTAACTTACGTTTCCAAATGTATTATGGCAAATACAGGTTTACATCATCTAGCCTCCCAGTTTGAATGTGATTTGTGTCATGCTTGGCTTGACCCGAAAGCCACATCTGTACTGGAGCCCACCAGAGCGTGTAGTTGAGTGGCAGAACGGTGCCGTGCTGCAACATGACACATGAAAGGGTCTTCAATCCTGTTTATATGGTAGATGAGACCCGAGAGAGACGGAAACTAGGGCATGAACATAACAAGAAGGCCTTGTGCGAAGCAGGGCTGAGTAAACTTCAATTTCGTCCTGAGATCGGCTCCTTCGGTTGTGGAAAGTCCAAATCTAGTACTCACATAATCAAAGCAATGATTGAAGAACTATGGACGTGGGCCGGCTACACAATTGGCCGGAATACAAAAGAGACAGACAGCAAATGGGGAATATACAAATAAACTGAAGATTAGACAAGCCGTGGACATCCTCTTTCAGAGAGGCATAATAAACTGGAGCTTAGAAGAGTTAAGAGTCAACAACAGAAAGAGGCGTAGTCAGGAACACGATCTTGAAAGAAAAATAAAAGGAGTCAAACCTAGAATCAACCTCTAAAAGATACCGATGTGGGTCCACCTTTGATCCCAAGGAATTGCAGGACCATAAACTTCCTAGGTTCAGGATCAAGCTCTATTTCAAGCCAACTTTGGGCTGACAACCGAGGAGAGGGCACAACATCATTTGGTCCTCAGTATATGGGTTAAGTATGCGTTTGTGTATGTGAGTGTGAGTGTGTTTATATCTGTGTCTGTGTTTGTATTGAGAGGTGGCTCGCAATATACATGATAAATGTAGTTATTAACCCTTTTACACACTTTCACGTGAGTAAAACCTTATGTGTATTGGCCCTATTTCGTACAAGGTGATAAGAAGACTGTTAATTGAATTTTCCTACAATTCTATTAGTATAACTTACGCTTCCAATGAATTTCACATCATCTTACCTACGAAAAGGTATTCTAATCCAAACCTGAGTGGACTGTACTTTCGACCACGCCTGAGTCTCATCCGCACCCTCAGGTGGACTCGAACCCGGGTTGTGATAGTGTAGCATATAATCTCGACACGTTAACCGCCACCCCACATTGTCACGAATGCCCCTGGACCATGAGAGCAGATGTGAATGCCAATGGAGGTCAGGCATTTTCCGATATCACATTCTGCGGTATGATTGTCAATGAAGCAAAGTTGAATTTGCTATAGCAATCGACTACATTACTTTTGATGTAGTTTTCGTCTATAAGTAGGTTTTAAGACTATCATTAGAACTGATATAAAAGCTGTATTCGCCTTATTTCGTATGAAGTACTGAAGTACTAGTAGTTGAATTTTCCCACAATCATAAGAGTGCGCCTTACTTTTCCATTGAATTTCACATAGCTTTGCTTCCAAAAAGGTATATTTAGTCAGGGTGGACTGCAGTTTCGAACTCGCCTGGGTCCAATGAAACAAAAAAAGTAATGCAGTCGATTGCATCAGCAAATACAACTTTGCTTAAGCGAAAATCTCACCATATAATGTGATATGGGAAAATTCCTACCCCTCCTTAAAATTCTCATCTGCCCTATGACCCAAGGACACTCCTGACAGTGTGGCGTAGTGGTTAACGTGTCGAGATTATAGGCTGTAATCACGATTTGCGTCCCAGTGGTGAGGTGGATGAAACTTAGGCGAGGTCGAAACTGTAGTTCATTCCTGCCCGGATGAAAATACCTTTTGGGAAACAAGGCTATCTAAAATTCAATGTAAATGTGAGATCTATTCTTATGATTGTGGGAAAATTTGGCTACTAGTACTTCTTTACTTCAAATAAACTAAGGTGGGATCGGGTTGCCAGCAACCCCTACAGAGACGCAAGAACTGAGAACTGGTGCATTTTAGCCGACTCCGTGCCTCGCACGAAGAAGCCATTTTGGCGATCACTCCGCCGAACCGGGGCAATAAATTTCCATTTTCGCTTATAAGTAGCTTTCGAGGCCACCAGCCGATCATAAAAACTCGCATTGTTTGTCCAGATTTCGCATTATCAGCACAGTGACGGTGACGAGGAGAACGGCCGCCAGTAGCTGAAGCATCATCGTCCACGGAACTTGCGCGCCCTGGACAAGCCGACAACACGACGTCGAACACCTCCGCCGGACGTCGAACCTGGCCATCGAGCAGGACGGCTTGTGCGCGACGCCAACCCAATCCTCCAGACCGATGTCCACGCCGTCCGCCAGCCCGCCTCGGCCGGGACTCGAAGTTGCAGAAGCCGGATGCGGAAGCGTTGAGGCTAGAACAGGTTTGAGTTCAAGTTAAAAAATTTCATAAATTAATTATACTGAAGCATTAAACAATAAAACAATTCTCCTCATATTAGATACACACACACACACACACACACACACATTTGCCAATTGTTCAGTGAGATGCCGAAATATGACAATAAACAAGAGGCATACGTTACACATACTGAGATAATGTAATAAAACACGAAGTATAGTTCATTTATCTCTTAAGCCAG